AAGCGTTCTTCCAAAGTGGCACAATTTCTTTGCGTCTCAAACGAAAGGAGGCTCTCCGAGGGGCGGATAGACGCGGGCGGAAGCTCCGCGGAGCGATGAACTTCGCAGGAGGCGAAGTGCTCACAAAAGAGGCCTATCAAATGCTTGTGCTTCCCCGGAGACTCGCGCTCTCGGGTCTTCAGTCCGCGGCCTCGCGTCCTCGAGCACACCGTTACACCTGGGTGACGTTCTCGCGGCGGCCGCTGTCGGAATAACGCTCTCGCGTTCGGAAGAGATTCGTCCCCTATCGTACGTCCTTCGTGCACGGTGATGCGACTGATCGTTGTTCATTTCGCAGGGTTTCTTATCGGGACAGAGACGACGTCTACGCCCGCCACGCTATTCATTCGACCAGGGCTGCGTTCGCTTCCGGGTGCTTATGCGTTGTGAGCGTCATTTTATCTTCCTTCTGCATGTAATGAACGATAAAGATAGAATGAGACTTACAGCGCGTGAGCGCCCAAAGCGAACGCAGCTCAGGCGCGTCTCGATGATCATAGGTCTGTTCTTTTTAACTGAACTGGTGCACACTGGTGCAATAAGTTAGAATGAGACATATGTATTTTGTTTCGCTCTAACTTATTGCAATTTATGCAGTTCGGCTAAAAAGAACAGACCTCATCTCTCTCGCTCTCTCAGGCACGAGAGGCCTTATCCGCGTCGAGTTTTTCCCCATGACATATCAAAATGGAAGCGACTCCAGCGACGATCACGGCTATAACGCTCGGCGAGCAAGCGGCGCTCGCGTGAGTCGCGCGAAACGCGAGCGATCGCGAATCACCGTGGCGATTAGAATCCTCGTCCGCGCGTATATCGGGCATAGAAGTGTGGAGGGCGAAGGGAGTCTCGTCGCGGTTCTCGATCCTTTCTCGTGCGTTCCCTCGTCAAACCGTCGAGTGGGCGCAAAAGTGTGGCGCCTGCTCTTCGGGTGTTCTGGGTTCAGCGAGACGGAACTCGCGTTCGTCTTCGAGAGACTCTCTGACAGCTCGTGGTTTCTCTTTGCACGTTCAGGGGGTCTCCCGTCATGCGTCAGGCGACGAAAAAAGTGGATTCTTCCCGAATTCTCTCATGAAGAAAACTGTTGCTGCTGTTATCGGGCTTTACGAGTGTCGTCAACATGCTATTGTAAATTTTTACAAGTTTTATTCATGCACATTGTAAGGTCTTGCAGGCTTATTATTATTAAAATATAGAAGTTGAACAAATTTCTGGAAAGTGAGATGCCAACTTATTTTGCCGCTGATATAGCGCGAAATCTACTTTTCGAACGGTGCCAAAGCTGCACCGAGAAAAAATACTTGAATTTATTCACAGAAGTTTATTCCCCATGGGGAAAAACTAGAAATAAACTTTATCTCACATAGATAAACTTTGTATCACGCAAATAAATTTTCACGTATTTTTTCTAAGTGTAGTCGTAGGTCGTAATTTGGATTTGAAAGCAAATACCAAAGGTTATGTTATTTATGATATATGGGAGGATTTTTTGTTTGTCGAGAAAACAACAAAATGGCGGTTCAGAGAATCAAAGTAACGAGTAGAAAATTCGTTTCTTCGAAAAAAATCTTTTCCTTCGCCTGACGCATGAGAAAACCCTCTTGACGTCGTTCTTTTTCTTTTCTTCTCGATTGTTCACATACATTACAATAGGAGCTATGTCCACGTAAAAGTCCTACTCTGTGCGCATCGTAACGTTTTGGGGGGTAGCTTTAGACTTAACTCCTTTGCACTCGGACGTTGGTGTTAGGCGAATAATATTTTGTATCGTTGTTGTAATCTACTAGTTGCCACCACACGCGCGCGGTAACTTGACGAGTCAACGTAAATACGTACTGACGTGTGAGAGATCGGCGAGTGCTCTCGTGTGATCATTAGGACGTTGTCGATACACGTGAGAGGATCACGATCGCCGATTCCGGCTTCCAGGACTGGGAAATGTCTCAAGCACACGTCACTGACACGGAGGTGTCTTTAATACAAAGTATTCTTTTACTCTTAGTATCTTTTTAATCACGAGTTTTACAAGATTATATATTTATATATTTTATAACCCCTTCGAAGCCTGCTTTTCTGAATAGCATTCTAAATTTTATATCCGGAAGACGCTCTCCAAAGTATTTGATAACATGTGTCTCTCTTATTTCGTGGCTGAAATAAGCTTTTATAATATCTCACCCAGCTCTGGATTCGAGAACGATATCCGACAAAGAATTCGAGAATCTCGCACCTTCTCGATCCTTTGCTCGTGCGTGCCTCGAACTCTGTTCCGAGATGACGAGAAAAAGCGCGGAAAGCTAAGAGGAAGACTACAAATTTTGGAAAAGCTTCGCGAAAATGGGGGGAAAGAGAGCACTCGGAGAATTTGAGTATTCATTCGTAAGTAGTACGTTCTCGAGTATAGTTGATAAAGCGTCGGGGTGAAGAGTATTTTTTCTAGGAATGTTAGTGGACCAGGCAGCAGGGACATTAATATCGTAAAAAAAAACCGCGGCGAATTTCATAATTTATAAATTGCAGGAAAACGCAAAAAAAGGCAAAACCGAAACTGTAAGTAAAACGAGGAAACGGAGGAAAAAAAAATAGAAACGTCAGACATCGGCTAGGAGGAATACAGTGGGACTTGTGAGACAGTCAAATGATACTCGAATGATAGTATAAATGCAGAGTTCGTAGACAGTAAAAACTTTTTTTAGACGTCCTGGAGAGAAAGTGGAAATGGCTGAAAATGAGGAAGAGAGAGAGAGAGAGTGTATGCAAGAAAGAGTTAAAGGAGAGTGAGAGTGGGAGTGAGAGAGAGTGAGAGTGAGAGAGGGAGAAAGAGAGGAAGAAAGAGAGAGAGAGAGAGAGAGAGAGAGAGAGAGGACGAGAGAGGGAAAGAGAGAGGGGAAAGGGAGAGAGGAGGAGAGATATGTAAGAATGCCAAAGGAAGGCTAAGAATAATTGAAAAAGAGTAAAGTGAGAGTGTGCATGTGTGTGTGTGTGTGTGTGTGTGTGTGTGTGTGTGTGTGTGTGTGTGTGTGTGTGTGTGTG